AGCGATGGGAGCGGTGTCAAAGATGGAAGCTCAGACCCCATGAGTTTTTCATCTGTCCTCACTGCTTTTTCTACACATGGTCAATCCAAACCATGCAGAGATGCTGTTGCTGATCTGTATGTTTTCTATTGTCTCTCAGAAAGTGGTAAAGATTGGACTGGGGAGATTTATAAAAACTGCAGACGTTGCTGAACTTTCTTCACCAGACCAGAGATTTGGAGGGACCAGTTCAAAGTGTCAGTGACTTGTATCCCACAGGAATTTAATGCTCCACTGCAGCATCATTGGTAAGGAGCAGTGTGTGACTTGGCTGATTTTTTCTGAGATCAACAACAATTTCTTTTGTTTTGTTGACATTCAGGATGAGATGGTTTGCATCATATCAGTCCACCAGACTCCTCTCTGTAGGTCAGTATGTTGTTGTACCTGATGAGACCCACCACTGTTGTATCATCTGCATACTTAATGACAATGTCGCAGATACTAACGAGCGGAAGAGGCAATATGAGGGGAAACAAAGGTCGGGATGCTGACCGGGCTGACACAGCTATGGATAGAGGGTGACATAAACTTCCACTGCCCATCATTTTCCTCTCAAATTCCAGATGCCCTGTAATAAGATGAATGAGTTGAAGCATGAGTTAGCAAGATAAATAGATAGATAGATAGATAGATAGATAGATAGATAGATAGATAGATAGATAGATAGATAGATAGATAGATAGATAGATAGATAGATAGATAGATAGATAGATAGATAGATAGATAGATAGATAGATAGATAGATAGATAGATAGATAGATAGATAGATAGATAGATAGATAGATAGATAGATAGATAGATAGATAGATAGATAGATAGATAGATAGATAGATAGATAGATAGATAGATAGATAGATAGATAGATAGATAGATAGATAGATAGATAGATAGATAGATAGATAGATAGATAGATAGATAGATAGATAGATAGATAGATAGATAGATAGATAGATAGATAGATAGATGATAGTCATAATATCGTGTCATGACTATGTTGTCTTTAGTTGAGTGAACAAAATCCTAAGATCAGTAACTGTTAGCAATTAGTAGCACACCAGTGGCAAATGTTTGGTGTATTACAGAGCAGAAAGCTCACATTTTTGTTTCTCCCTAAATCCAATGGGTGGCGCATGTTGCTACAATCGACAGTTGCCACACAGGCACACCCTCTAGAAGGAAACAAACGCACCCAGTACAACTCTTTAATTCTACTGGTTTAGAGGTTCCAGGGGCAATTGTACAAAAGGTAGTTCCATGTTTCCTTAGCGAGCAGAATCTGAGCAGAGAGTAAGTTTGAGCATGAGGAGAAGTTTTGAGTACAAGCATTATAAGTTTTGAGAAGAAAGCCATGAAGTCCTGCTTTCAAAATGAAAATGTAAGCAAAAGTATGATAGATTTTGAGAACAAATAACATAAAATTCCATTTTGGGTAGCCTTGCAAACCTTCGTGCAACACTTTGCCTGATACTTTGAGCCAGTTTTTGGCTTACTTTGACTAACTCACCATACAGGTCTACACATATCCTGCTACTCCAGACAATCCCTAAGACTCCAAATCTCCACCGACCTCTTCTGGTACACAAACATCTCTCAACTGGTGAGGAAGGCACAGCAAAGATTGTACATGCATTGTATATTTAATTGGAAGCTACAGCAGGCCAACCTCCACCATAATCTGTTGGTTAACTCCTACCACTCCACCATCAAAACTCTCCTAATCTACAACAGTACTGTGTGGTTCAGTTATTGTAATGTGAAGGACAGGAAGAACCTCCAATGAGTGGTGAGCACAGTAGAGCAGGTGACTGGGACCATACCTGCCTCCAAAGAAATTTACACAAACATACCTAAACAAAAGGCCAGTAGAATCATAAAAGACCTCTTGCACAGACACTCCTCCTCCTTCCTTCCAAAAGATGCTTCAGATCAATCAAGACCAAATCTAAAAGATCAAGTAAAAATCTTTATCCACAAGCAGTAAGGAGCAAAGATAAGCTCTGGTCCTGAATATAAGAGTCGGGTCTTTAAATTTGCTGTTGCAATCTGACTTTTAAATTATATATTGCATGTATGTTATTTTTTTTTATTATCTCTGGTGTTTATTCCTTATTGTAATTTCTCATGCTGCTACTAAGAAGTGCTAAACTGTTTCTTTAGCTGTTCTCGCAACAGTGGCAATAAAATAGTTTATTGTATTGCATGGCGGTAGAATACAGCCATAGGAAGCTTCAGGACATTTGTCTTGGGCGTACTTTGAGCTTAAGCTGAATCCTATAGTGATTAAGTCGCACCTAAAATAATTTAACAACCATGGCTAATTAGGACAGATTTAAACATTTGCAAGTAATTCCAATAAACCACCTACTGAAACTGTTTAAAAAAATCTAGACAAAAAGTTTTTGTTTACATTTCTGTTGTACAAAAACTTTTTTCAAAGTCAACACTAAAATCCTCTTGCAATGACTTCATTCATCATCTAAGTCTTCATGAGAGCACACATTTATCAACATTTGGTTGCATCAGCTGTGCTTGAGACAGAACACCTCTAATACACTGAAAAAATAAAAATAATTAAACCAACTTAGTCAAATTGCTTCAGTTGGAAACTTAATGTATTAAACTGATTTAACTTGACAAATTTCAGTCAGTCTTACCCAAGTCATTTAATTTTCTTCAAATAAAGAAGTAAACTAATAAAGGATCCTTTTAAAGCCCCCATTTCTGCCCCCAGCCTCCAGGTTGTGCGTTACGGCCCTGTGTTTGGTGTCAGAGCGCAGCGCACAGAGCTCCTCCTGCCGCTTCACAATTCAGATCGCTGCACAGATTTGTGACATTTCTATAAATATTAATAATTGTAATGGCGTTTCGTTGAGGATTGTGGCTGTTTTCACGTTTATTGCGCTCTTCAGATTAGTCTCGACGTTTCCAATTTTCTGGATAGTTCCACGTAATTCAGAGGTAATACATTAACATGACATTAACGAAGACACAGCGGGACGGATCATCCGGGAAATGATGGACAGGGAGAGCCTGACTAAAACTGCATTAATGACGGGCAAATTCTGGGGTTTATTATGAGTATCTGCATTATTTCCAAGCCCAAATGAGGAACTCCAAGTTCAAAAATGAGCCCAAAAAGGCATAACCCGCGACTCATTAAATTTGCAAGCGACTTAAAAAAAAAAAAGAAGCCCAAAGTCGCTTATAATAATCGGACTTGAGGACAGAAACTCAAAATAGTTCCTGTTTTTCCACCAACAAAATGCGCTTCTCCCTTCATTGTTTACATTTCTGTCGCTGACGTTGGATATTGTCGCATAAAGACGTCGGTCACTCGACAAGACGCGGAGAGGGAATACAATTAAATAACAAAAGAAGACAGAAAAGCACAGTAACGCAGTCATTTCGATAAGTAACTGTCGTCTGACTACTGAATTTGAAATAGCAACGCGTTAGATTAGCCTATTGAAAAAAGTGGTCCGACGTCACTGCCAACAACCCTTAGATTGATAAAAGATAAAGAGCCAGACGTAGTAACTGAGATTTCTGGTTGAAGAGTTTTATTTGGTGTGTTGATCCACTCCACTGTTGATCCAAAAGTGGTCAACAGTGAAGTATAGCTCCAATTTACTCAGGGCTATGAAAATGATCCTAAGGTTTAGGTGCTATCTGATGAGCATTATGGAGTAATTCTTTATTGTCCACATATGCATGAAGTGAAAGCAGGAAACATATGGTAAACAGAAAGCTCTGTCCATAGAGTCAGGCTTAGCATTGTCAATGTGACACAGAAAACAGACTGGGTTTGGGGGCCAAGAAGGATTCAACTGAGCATCAGGAAATTCTAGGAGAAAAAGTCACAACATGTCAGGAAGCTTTTTCTTTGGCCTTACTGGACCTTCGAATAAGATGACGATCCCAAGCTTAACTCAAACTCCTACAGAACTTGGTTTCAGAGGATGTACAGGAAGACACAGAGTGGGCAGTATAGTCTCTATTGGAAATGTTTGATAGGATTGGAAAACAGCACACAAACGTAAGACATAAATTACCAACAGCATTCATATTTACAGATCCTTGCATCTGTAAATATGAATCATATTTACAGATTGTTTCAGCATCATGTTCCACTAAATACTAACAATCACGGCTTTGTCATAAATGAATGAATCATCTTGATAATGATAGTCATAAAAATTTGTATTTGCTTATAAATTTGAGTACACAATTGTAATTGGTGTTCTATTTGGTTTCCTGCAAATAACTTGTATATTTTTAAATAATTTTAGGTGCAAGAGAACTCCTTTTTGAATATTACTTTGCAATGGAGGAATTTTTAAATTAGTGATTTACGATTTTTTTCCATACAGTTTTCAGATTGACTTATCTGATCACCCGTGGTTTGGAGTGGGCAGTCACTCTCTCACTACCATGACCCAGCGATGACCCACTGAAGATAGTTTACTATTTTAGTTAAAATGTTTGCTTGAAACATTTTATTGGTTTGATTCTCACTGGTGATAAATGAATTTGGTATTCAGTCTTGTAGATATTTGTATTGGGTCTATGTTTGGCTGTGAGTCCACCTCAAAACAAACCAGAACAACCTGGAATAAAAGATGGATGGATGATTTTTACCCTTTTTATATGAATTGTACATGCTGCATAAATATTTCAAACAATATTGAGCATTATAGAAATATTTTCTGTGTAAATTTGTGACCTTGGAAAAAAATTGTGGAGACCATGTGTAAATCAATAAAATTCTGCAAAAGAAATTATTTCTCTATATATTAATAAAATAAAAATGAAATAAAACAGTATCACTACCATAAATAATTAACAAAACCTGATTAGATAAAACAAATATCTGGTGCTTGCTGAAATGAGTGTAAAGTATCAGTCCAAAATTGTACAGACTTGTTCTCTATCAATGGATAAATATTTGTATTCTGTGTGTTTGATCCTTGCATATGGAAACCATCTGACCTCAAGTTGTCATAGCAATGATGATGGGAGGCATTTTAATGACAGAGGTCTGATAGAGGCCTATAATACTGTAAGAGGGAGTGGGGACCAGACCATTAATTAAATGATGCCTCAATAAATTGTGATTTTGTGTGTGTTGAGTGGGAATGGGCTCTGATAAAGGTGGAGACAGTTAGAATAGGTTCAGTGTTAACTTTTACCATTTAACAAAATGTGTTTAGATTATTGGGACTGAAACAACAAATAAGGACAGGGCAATGAGACTGGGATTTAAAGATTAGATACATCATTATACAGGCTGAATAATGAAAAAAGACAGTGAGAATTCTAGTTGACATCAAAATGAGACATTAAAGATTTGACCAAGTTAATTAAACTGTCATTCTCACTGGCTCAGATAATCCAGAAAAAAAATCATTTTTATAGCCAGTTTTTTCAAGAAATTTTATTGTTATTTTTATTTACTATATTTTTATCTTTTTTTCATCTGCACTGTGCGCATGCTCTTTTTCCTAAACGATATAGGAATACAACATAAAACAAATATCCTTGACATAGGCTACGTCAAAAAACGAACTAAAATGACAGTGTGTAAAAAATGAGACCCAACCTACTAAATCGGCATAAATAGGCAGTTTCATGTTGTTGGAAATTTCATTAATTGCTACGTCATCATCTTCATAATTATCATAAATCATAATCATAACAACAAGAACATTGACGTGAGAATTACAGTAAAAAGTGCACCATCATATTTAACTTAAAAACTATACAGCTGCCAAAGATGAAACTGTTAATGATAAAGTTCTAACAATATAGAAATGTTTCACGATACTTGTTCCACAAAAAAAGGAAGCTACCCTTTAATCTTCTTTCATTTACCTTGTTCGTGAGGGCTGGGGGTGGGAATTATATATTTCATAAGTTCGAATGATAAGTGCCATCCAATTAAGTCGGTTTAGAGCTTGGTAGCTTTTTTTTTTTTTTTTTTTTTCCTTTATAGCTCTTTCCTGTGGTTTTGACAGTCATCAGACCTTTAGTCCTTCCAACTCGTCGCTCTTACAATTCTGGAGACTCATTTGACGAATCACGGAGAGAGCAGGTAGTTTACTGGCCTCGTTAAAGTTAAGATAGTCCACTGATCCAACTTCAACCGTCACCTTTGTTGACCATTTAGATTAACCACCCCGATCCCTCAAAATCCTCCTTTACATTTGTTTGTGTGTTTTCTCACAGCAGTCCTCACTGACGGAGCCCTGAGACCCCGCCGTACCCGACCCAGTGCCCGCCCCTCCACCCCCTTCCCCACTGCCTCCACCGCTGCCACCACCGGCCTCCCGCAGTTCCTTCTCCCTCCTCTCCCGTTCCACCGCCTCCTGTTCGCTCTTGCTACTGGGGAACTTGTCCTTGTTGTTCTCCTTTTTCCACTTCATCCGGCGGTTCTGGAACCAGATCTTAACCTGCCGCTCTGTCAACGCTAATGCGTGCGACACCTCGATTCGGCGTTTCCTGGTTAGGTAGGGGTTGAACAGGAACTCTTTCTCCAGCTCCAGAGTCTGGTAGCGACTGTAGGTCTGCCGGCCTCTTCTTCTGCCAGCAGCTACTGGGGAAAGGTGAGAGAAAGATGACGGAAGACACGAAGAGAATAATTAATAAAAAAATAATACAAATAGGACACCTGTATTCGTCTCACGTTTGAATTTGATATAGTAAACAGCATTTTTAAGGAATCGTCGTTTTCTTATATTGACTATGACAGGTCTATTGTGTGGTCTAAAGAATATGTGTCCACATGACGTTCTAGGAGGAGAAAGAACATTTTGAACAAGTTTGTGATGGTTTTGTTGTGCAGCTTCACTTAGAGACAGTGGAATTTAGTCCAACTGAAAGTATTAAGACATGTAAAAATAAATACACAAATATGAATCAAAAGCACTTCTACTCCACTGAAGCAATCCGTACACTTGTATTCCAACAAAGAATCAAATAAATGTCGCCTTATCAGTCAAAACAATAACAGGCAGCCAAGGGGTTTAAAAACAAGTCCATGCGCTCACACACGTACACACACGCACTTGGGCATGCAGACAAAATGAGAAATGAAAATTGCGGTATATTTTAACGATGCACGTGTAATTATAATTGCGGTAAAGAATAAAAGATTAAATCGAAACTTTATTTTTACATTTTCCAAAGCCACTAGGAGCATAACTAATTGCTAAGAGACAACATGAAGCATTTATTTTCCTTTATCACCACAGACTAGAAGATATGACAAGTCATTTCTCAAGCTGACAATGAAATATTATATTTATGACACTATCTTACAGGAAAAAAGCGATAGATTATTAAAAGAATGCACACATTTTACTATGTAAGCTTTAAAGTAAAAAAGAAGTAGCCTATTTTTAACCGACACTATTTTATATTTTGCCAAATACGGCGAGGATAAAATAGCCGCATTCAAAT